CCCCAAATTTGCCCCCCCCAGCACCTGCGCCGGGCCATGACCAGCTCCGAGTTCGTGTCCAACCTCAGCGGGATGAACGACGGGCAGGACTTTCCCAGGGAGCAGCTCAAGGTATTCCGGGGGGGCCCTGAGGCTGGAAAAGGGGTTTCCCTCCCCTGAACACCCTCAAGCCCCCCCCACACCCCCTGACCCCCCCGATTTCCCCCCCAGGCTCTTTACGGCTCCATCCGCAGCAAGAAGCTGGAGTGGGCGACGTGAGTGGGGGGAGCTTGGGGGGGATCTGGGGGCTGGGGGGGGCTCCCTGTGATCCTGAACGTCCCACAGGGAGGAGGAGGAGGAGGAGGAGGAGGAAGAGGCCGGGGGAGGGAAGAAGATCCTCCCCCAAATCCCGGAGCTGCCAGGGGGGGCCGTGACCTTCCGCAGGGGGTGGTTGGCCAGGAAGGTCCTGGCAGAGGCTGATGGCAAGAAAAGTGAGTCTGGAGGGATTTGGGGGGCTTGGGGTACAGGGGGAAGGATTTGGGGTGGGTTAGGGGGTGCAGGGAGGCAGATCTGGGGTGGTTTTGGGGCTCAGGGGAGAAGATTTGGGGAGCGTTTGGATCTGGAGGGGCAGATTTGGGGTTTTGGGGATCCAGGGGAGCAGAGCTGGGCTGTTGTAGGGTAGATTTGGGATCCGTTGGGTCAGGCTTGTGGGGGGGTAGATCTGGGGTGGTTTGGAGTTGGTGGGGGGGCATATTTGGGCTGTCTCTTCCTCTTTAGGGTCCCAAAGGGTCACTTTGGGGTGCGTTGGGATCTCTGGATGCAGCTTTGGGGGTGGGACACAGATGTGGGACAGTTTGAGCTGCACTGTGACCAAGGGGGGCCCATTTCAGGCTCTACTGCACCGGGGCGGTGTCCCACTGTAGGGGGGTATTTTTGAGGTGTCCTTTGTGTCCCACCCCCCATCCTGCTGTTCCAGCTCCCTGGGGCCGCCGGGGCTGGAAGCCCTTCCAAGCCGTTCTCCGTGGGACCTTCCTGCTCTTCCTCAAGGCCGGGGGGAGCGCCCGGGGGGTCTCCCGACGCCCCTCGGAGCCGGGATCCCCTGGCCCCCCCCCAGAGGAGGGTGGGGGGGCCGAGGAGCCCCTGGGGGTCCATCATGCCCTGGCTGAGAGGGCCCCCAAATACACCAAGCGGCCCAACGTGTTCCGGTTGCAAACGGCCGAGCGGAGGCTGTTCCTGTTCCAGGCGCCGTGAGTGACCTGGGGGGGAAAAAAAGGGGGTCACGGCAGGGGGTCCCTGCAGGGTGTGACAGCACTGGTGACCTCACTGGTCATGTCTCGATCCAGCACCCCCGAGGAGATGCTGTCCTGGATTTCCCGGATCAATCTCGTGGCTGCTCTGTTCTCCTCCCCTCCCTTCCCGGCGGCCGTGGGGTCCCAGCGACGCTTCGTGAGGCCCATCCTGCCCACAGCCCCCAGCAGGAGCCCCCCGGTGAGCCCCCCAAACAGAGGTGACACCCATGGGTGCCCATCACCCCCATCTTGCCCACAGCCCCCAGCAGGAGCCCCCCAGCCCCCCCTGGGACCCCCAAATAGGGGTGACACCCCTGGGTGCCCATCACCCCCAGCTGAAGCCCCCAAGTGAGACCCTTCCAAACCCGCTGAGTAGGAGGGTTCACCCCTGGGTGCCCAACCAGCTCCATCCTCCCCACAGCCCATGGTGAGACCCCCAAGCCCCCCGGGTGGGTGGGTGGGGGTCAGCCCTGGTCTCCCCCCAGGAGGAGCAGCTGCGGTGCCACGAGCAGTGGCTGGAGCGGGTGGGGCAGGAGCTCCTGGAGCACCAGAGGCACCTTCCCGAGGGCCGGGGCCGCGCCCGGGACCTGGACGAGTATCGGGTCAAGAAGGAATTCCTGCTGGAGGAGGTGGGTGGGGACATGGGGACACCCGAGACAGGGGGAACACCAGGACATTGGACACATCAGGGACACTGGGGAGGCCCCCAGGGTGGTTTCTTATTTTAATTCTTTTCTTCTCCATGGAGGACACCAGGAATGTCCCCATGGCAATGGCTCATCTCCATCTTTATCTTCCTGGTGGTGGAGACACAGGGAGGGCAGTGGGAATACCAGGAATGTCCCCGTGATGGTGGCTCATTCCCATCCTTATTTTTCCCATGGGATGGACACCACAATGGGACAGGGGGACCCCAGGGATGGGGGGGACACAGGGATATGAGGACACCAGTAATGTCCCCATAGTGGTGGTCCATCCCCACCCCTATTTTTCCCATGGGATGGACGCTGCTATGGAACAGAGAGACCCTGCGGACAGGAAGGGACACAGGGACAGGGGTGGTGACTGGGGGGGGTGACCCATCTGTGACCCCCTCGTCCCCCCAGCGCCGGCGCTACGAGACTTACGTGCAGGTGCTGGAGACGTGGCTGAACTCGGGCGCCCGGGACCTGGAGGGGTGGGAGGCGCAGGCAGGGGGAGCCCCCCCAGACCCCCCCACTCTGACCAAGGCTCACTCGAGCCCCTCACTGGCCCCTGAGCCCCCCCCGGGCCCCACCGTCCGCGTCCGGAGGAACATCTCGGAGCGAAGGACCGTGAGGAAAATCGTCCCCAAGCGCAACAAGAACCTGCTGTGACCCCCTGGGGGGACCCCAAGGGACAGGATCCCACCGGGGAGCCACCCCCAGGACCCCTCGGTACGAGGTTCTTTGGGGGGTCCCGGTACGAGGTTCCTTGGGCCCCCCCAGTTTGAGCCACCCTGGGGGGATTCAGGATGGGGAAACTCAGGGAAAACACCCCTTTCCCCCTCCCAAAAAGGGGGCTGGGGGGGCTGAGGGGGGTGTAACTTTCCCCCCCGGACCCCCAGCCCCCCCCTGCACCCGCTGCCTGCTGCTCTCTGTGTGCAATAAAGGTGTGTCCCACCGCTGGCATTCCCAGATCCCAAAATTCCTGAGGGGGAGGGTCAGGGTGGGATTTGGGAGCCCTGGGAACCCCCCCCTTCCTGCCAGTGCTGCTTCATGGGGGGGGTGAGGGGGGTGTTAGGGGCGTGAAACCCACAGCACCAACCCCCCACCCCCTCCAAAATAGCAGGAAACTTCCCCAAAATTCCATGTTGAGGAATGGGGCAGGGGGGAACCCACTGGACCCCCCCATCCCCAGAATTCCAGTCTATGGGGAGGTGGGATCCACTGGAACACCCCCCCCCCCCCAAAAAAAATTAGACCCACTGTGTGAGGGAGATGGTTCCCTCTCCTGAGGTTTTCCTCATTAATTATCGGTGCTAATTGGGCTGGGGGGCTGAATTTTGGGAAGGAGGGAAGGTGAAAATTGGATGCTCCAAAGGGAGTGATAAAATTAGGATAAATTTATTATAAAGTGAGAATTTAGAGCGATGATTAAAGGGGGGCCCAAACCCCCCCAAATCGGTGACTGGGAGAAGGGGGGTCGTTAACTAGGAGCTAATGAAGATCCTAGATGTTTATTAAGTAGTTTCCTGCTCCTGCTGTTTTCGCAGATTCCCAAGGCTGACGGAGACCCCCCAGACTGGGGAGGGGGCTCAGGGTGACCCAGGGCAGCAGCACCAGTGCCCCCCAATCCCTAAAACACCCCCAAAACTGCCTTTTTTTCCCCAGTTTCACCAGTTCAAATGCCCCTTCCCAGTAATCCCAACCCCCCCTCCCAGTAATCCCAACTCCCAGTCCCAGAAATCCCAAAGGGATGAGTTCAAAGGGCTGTTTCTGGGGGGAAAACCCCCTGGAAATGGTGACATGGAGCACCATCACCAATCCCTGTGGTGCCACCGCATCCCGAAAACATTCCAGTCTGAGCAGGGATGAGGAGTGGGGAGAACCCACTGCCAGAAGAAGTGGGAATTCCATGGGTTTTCCCTGTTGGGATGAGGAAATATCGACCAGGAGACGCAGATTCCACCACGGACACGCAGCAGGGGGAACAAATCCCTGTCCTTGAGCATCGGGAATGGGATGGGGAGGGAAAATGGGGCTGAAATCCCACAGCACAGGTCCCTGTCCGAGGCAATTCCCAGAATTCCAGCTCCTCAGGCATATTCCAGCTGGGCAGGGCCACAAGGCTCTGGGGCCGTGTCTGAGCCCTTGGAAAGGTAATCCCGGACCTCCAGCTCCATCTTCTTGGCCTTCAGGGCTGCCGAGTGCAGCTTCTCCAGGAAATCCGGCATTCCTGGGAAAAGGGTGAGGGGGAGCCCGCTGGGATCCAGGATTGCTGAGGGAAGAGGCTCCCAGTCCATCCCCTCCTCCGGCTCCATTCCCAGCTCACCTCGTTCTTCTCCCTCCTGATTTTCCCTTTCTCTCCTTGTTTTTTCTCTCCTAATTTTTCATTTCCCTCCTGATTCTTGTCCTTCCCAATTTTTCCTTTTCCCTCCCAGTTTTTCCTTTCCCCCCAGGTTCTTCTTCTTCCCAGTTCTTCCTTTCCCTCCTGATTTTCCCTTCACAATTTTTCTTTTCCCTCCAAACTTTTCCTTTCCCTCCTGATTCTTCCTGTCCCTCCCAATTTTTTTTTGGTCCTTCCTAATTTTTCCCACCATAATGTCACTTTGTATCCCCCTCCCTGCTCTGGAGCGGGAAGGGAAGGGGGCCTCTGTGGAGGGAGGATCCCGAGGGAATTCCAGGCACTCACCGCTGGAGACCATCCAGCTGACGCAGTAGCGCGGGAACACGGTCTGGGGGTTGTCACTGTAGGTGAGCAGGTAATCGAACCCATTCTGGGGGGACAAACATTCCTGGGATTCCCAGCCCATCTCAAATCCCCACTGGAGCTGCTCCCACCTCCCTCAAGGAATTCCCTGTGGAGCTGCTCATATCCCACAGGAAAAGCTGCCGGAGCCTCTGAGAGCATTGACAGAAGACCCAAGGAAATCCCACCAGGAGGGAATTTGGGAGGAGGGGGTGGCATTCCCTGAGTATTCCAAGCTCTATCCATGCTCTGGATGGCCTGGAAATAACCCACAAGCCTTTTTCCAAGAGGATTTAGTGCTTGGAATGAGACTTGGGAAGCTCATGGTTTCGTAAAGGGAGCTCTGAAAGGGAGTGTTTGGCTCCCTCAAGAGCACCAAATTCCTGAAGGAAAAGTCCCAGGATAGTGAGATAGAGCTGCAAATCCTTCCCAAGCCACACAAGGATATGCTTTCCTTGCCTTTGGAAAAATAACTCACCCTCCTCCCATAAATCATGGAATGGCCTGGGCTGGAAGAGACCTTAAAGATCATCAAATCCAACCCCTAAGGCTGGACTTTCCCAATGTTTGGATTATGGCCCAGCTCCCAGGGCAGGAGAAGGAGCAGCTCCCTCTGGAGCAGCAGGAGGATCCTCCCCACGCCAGGTTTTCCGCCCCCTTTCCCAGATTTACCTCATCAAAGGTTTTGTGGGGTCGGATCACCATCTGGGACTCGTAGGTCCTCACCCGGACGTACTCGGGATCCTCGGGAACGCTGGGATGCTCCACAGCCCTGGGAGGAGGAGGAGGAGCATCCCAAGGTGAGCTCAGGGTGCCAATTACACCCAGAATCCACCAGTTTTTTGGAGGTGGGGGGTAAAAACCCGACATTTTTCCCCCCCAAAACAGTTGTTTTATTTCCCAAATGAATCTCAGTGGGATTGATGGGGGTCAGTAAAGTCAATTAGGTTTATACCCAGCTCCCCATGAATCTTTAGGGATGGGAATGGTGGGAATTCCCTCCAGGAACACCCACCTCGACACCAGCACCATCAGGTTGTTCTCCTTGTCCACGTTGTAGCGCCGGACGTAGACGTAATCCCGGGAATACATGGGATACTGCGGGAAGGGCCCCGGGATTGGGATCAGCCCCCGCTCCCGGCCCTGCCCAGGGCAGATCCTGGGATGGGCGGGGACTCACCGGGAAGTGGGTGACCCAGTGAATCACCTCGGAGCCCGTGGCCACGTCCCGTTCGATCACATCCAGTTTGATCACCAAGGAATCCCATTTCTTCCGATATTCCGTGTCCAGCTGGGAAGGGAGAGAAGCTGAGTCAGTGGAAATTCCAGCAGAGGGGGATGAAGGGAGAGAAGTATCCCTTTTTTTTTTCCCTGTCTCCTGTGGGAACATTCAGTGTCATGGGCAGGCAGGGAATTATTAATATCCTAGAATAGTCTGGAAGTTGGGAGAGAGGAACTTGGGATCAGGAATCCACTGGGATCCTGCAGCCCAATCCTTCACTTCCAGCAGCAAAACCCGCCTGGAGAACAGGATAATCCACTGGGATTGGCTCTGGATTGTGCAAATGGTACAAAGGGAAGGGAATATTCCCAGTTCCCCCATCCCATCCTCTGGAAGAGGCTCCTGGAGCTCCATCCCACCCCCTGAAGTGATTCCAAAGGTGCTGCTTACCTGGACATTGAAGAACTGCCTAGGAGTCACATCCGTGTAGGATCCAAACACTGGAAAACAGAGCCTGGAATGAGAACTCCTGATCCCAGGAAAGGATTGGCAATGAGCAACTCCTGATCCCAGGGCAGGGTTAGGAGGGAAAGGGGAGTTTTAAGGTCCTCTGGAAGAATAAAGTGGGATGGAGCAGCAGGGATGGGTGTAAAGGATGGTAATTCCTGTTTTTCCTGAGGACAGGGATGAGTGAGGCCCAATCCAAGGGGACCTGGGCCATGGAAAAGCCCATGGATACCTCGGTACTGGTACAGGTGGGATCCCTGGATCGGCCTCCGCCACAGCCTGAAGTGCTTCTTGTCCATGATGAGCTCCCAGGGCTGCTCCCGCTCCGAGGGCTGGAATTCCAAGGGGCCACTGCCCTGGGCCAGGCTGGACAGGTTCTCCATGTGCTTCATCTCCTGCGCGGAGCTGCCGGAACAAATCCCACCAGGAGTCAGGAACGGGCCCCTCGGAGCGTCCGGGAGCCCCCCGGGCACGGAAAACACCCCAGGACTCAGGGAGAGGGGCAGGGAACTGAGTTTGGGTGTGGGAATGGCAGGGAAATACCAGGTTTTGGGGTGGGAAGAGCTGCCTGGGCTTGAAAACCCCATTTTTTGGGGAAATCCCATTTCTTCATGTGGAAAAAGCTGCCTGGGCTTGGAAATTCCTTTTTTTTTATTTTTTTTTTTATTTTCGTATGGGAAGAGCTGCCTGGGAATGGAAAACGTGTCCTCTCATCCCTCTTCCCACTTTTTCTCTGCTGGAACTCCAGTTTTTGGAAATACCAGCCTTTCTCTAAGGGAAAATAACCCTCAGGGGTTGCAGAGCAGGATTTGTTTTCCTGGCTGGATCAAAGCTGAGCAGGATGGAATGGGATGAGAGATGGATTTAAGGAAAAGCAGGATTTGGAGGCACCAAAATTCCCTGTGGAGCTGCTCACATCCCAGATGTGAGATGCTGCAAATCCTTCCCAAGCCATGCAGAGGATTGGGATTTGGGGGGAAAAGGAAGCAGGGATAGGGTTCCTGCTGTTCCAGGGGGTGGGAGAGGGGGAAGAAGGGAATCTCCAACAGCAGCTGGAGAAGGAAATGGGAGTCACAGGAGGAAAGGAGCTGGAAAAGCCCTGGATCAACCCCGAGTTTCAGCCTCCTCAGCCAACAGAAACTGGAGCTGGATTTGGATCCCAATTCCCAAAAATCCAGCGGAAAAAAGCCTGGAAACCTCCCCCCCACTGGGATAATCCCTCTGAATATTGGCCTAAGCTCCCAAAAACAGCCCTGGAGAGGGAAGGCTGGTTCATCGACCCCCAAAGCCCCTGAGAATGCCAAGGAAGGAGGGAGGAGGATCCCAGGGTGCTCCAGAGGCACTAATTAATGCAGGTAATTAATGAACAGAGCTGGAATTAACAACCTGGGACCGGCTGAGCTCGTGTTCCCATTCCTTGGAACCACTCCCTTCCCAGATCTCCAGGCAGATCCCAAAGCTCCACAGCATCAACTGGATCCACAAGCCTGTTTCCAAAGGTATTCCCTTTGGGACTGAGGCTCCTCCACAACCCCAACCCCTCCATCCTGCCCTTCCCATCCTGGGATGAGCCATTCCAGCCCCAGCCCTGTCCATCCATGGGATCAGCAGCATTCCCAACCACCAGGTGAGCCACTGGACATGGGATCCAGGGACAGGGAGCTGAGAATGACCCCCAGGGGGGTGGGATGGGATCCAACTGGGACAAGGAGCAAAGTGCTCCTGCTTCTCCAAATCCATCCTGCCCAGCCAGGAAAACCACAACCACGGGATTTACCCCTTTGGAATGAGGCTGTGCCTGCCCTGCTCCCCTCCCAGTCCAAGATTCCTGGTTCCCTGAGGAGGGGACACAGAACTGGAGCATCCCAAAGCCCAGACCCCCAAACCTGCTCCTGTCATTCCCAAATCCCATGAATTACTGAATCAGGGATGTGGTTCCCGACCTTGGCAGTGGCTCCATCCAGCAGAGCCCGATGCCAGGAGCCTCCAGAACAAGGACAAGGGGACACCAAGGGGACACTGGAGCCGCTTCCCTGGCCCCTGTCCAGCTCCACGTGTCCAAGTGGGACACGTGTGATCCCCCCATGGCACCTTCCAGCCAGGAATTCTACTTTTCCCAAGGAAAAACAAGCCTTTCCTGAAGTGAAATGAGCAGGAAGGAAAACCAGGAGTCGACTGAAACCCCGGGAGGTGACTCAGCCCATGAGGAAAAAGGGATTCTCTGCATGGATTTCACCTGTTCATGGATTCCTGGGATCATTTTAGGGCCTGTGTGAGGCTCATTCCCACCTGTCCAGCCAAAAATGCTGGATGTGGAAGAGGGGAGGGAAATTCCTGCCTGCCAAGAGCTCCCAGAATTCCAGCCAAGATCTCACTGGGGGCTTTGCTGCTCCCAGAATTAGGCTGAAGATGGAGAGGAAACAAACGGAATGAAGAGAAAGGAAAAACAAAGAGGAAGAATCCCAGGGAACATTTCTGTGCCTGGGAAAAGGCTCAGGAAGAGGATTTGGAATCCTCAAATCCAGTTGAGGAGGCTCAAGACCTGACCTTGAGCAAGGAAATCTCGCCTGGTTTTAATCCCAGGACTAAACCCAGCCCTGCTGAGCCACTGGAAAACTCCCCAGGGTTTATCCCCAATCCCAAAGGTTCCTTTTTGGGGAATGAAATTGAGATTTGGGGCTTTTTCCCAGCTGGGAATCTCCCTAAAATCTCCAGGAGTGCCAGGAGGGGGGGGATTCCTCATTAACTTCAGGGTTAATTAAGCCTTAAATGAGGTGCTTCTCAAACTCTGGATGATGAATCCCTGTGGGATGAGGAACCTGGAGGTGGAATTTCGGATCCCAAGATTCCCATAAAGGGTTAATTACCCTCTGCTGAGTCATGAGGTAATTAAGGGAATTAATCCCTAAGCAAGTCAAGATTCCAAGGACATTCCAAGAGCTGCTGGTGGGGGGGAGGCCCTTCTACCTCCATCCCGTGGGATTTGGGTGTCTCACCCCCCCCTTTTGGACACAGGGATGGGTTTGGAGAGTCCCCAGCAATGGAGTGGGGAACCCCTTTTTCCACGGGGAGAATTCCCAATGACACCACCCCCAGGCAACATCCCAAAGTTTGGGGGGGGTGGAGGGGACACCCCAACAACCCCCTCAGGAATTTTCGGGAGGGATTTGGGGTGACAGGGGGGTACCTCGAGATCAGAATTGGGGCACTCCAAGGTCCGAATTGGGGGATACCCCAGAGGGAGAGGATTTAGGGAACAGTGCCCCCCAGCACCCCAAAAAAGGAAGGGGGCACCTTCCAGGGCAAATTTTGGCAGGGCAACTCCAAATTTAGGGGGGCACCCCCAGATCAACACAGGATGGGCACTCCCATCCCAGGAAATCGGGGGGAATCCTGAGGATTTGGGGGTAGCCACGATCTAAGGAAGGGGAGAGGGCGCTGGGGGACCTGGAAGCCCCAGTGGAGGCAGGGGGGTGTCCCGGTCCTGGGTGTCCCACGGTGGGGGTATCCCGGGGACTTGGGGGTCCCGTTCCCGGTGTCCCAACCCCCGGGCCCCGTTCCCGAGGGTGCCCCATTCCCAATGTCCCCGTTCCCGGTGACCCCTTCCCGGGGGTGTCCCATTCCACGTCCCCGGTGTCCCGGTGCCCTGTTCCCCGTATCCCGTTCCCGGTGTCTCCCCGCTCACGCACCGCCGCAGCTCCTCCTCCTCGATGCGCCGCCCGTCCCACACGAACACCCCGGCGAGCGCGGCCATCAGGCGCCCGGGGCCGGCGAGGGCGGGGCGGCCGCGGAGCGCTCCCCGCCACCACCCCCCCCAGCCCGATCCTGATCCTGATGATCCTCCTCCTCCTCCTCCTCCTCCTCCCTCCGCCGCCGTCCCCTCCCCGTGCCCGCGGGGCCAGGCCCGCCGCGCCCGCCGCGCCCCGTGGACCGTCACGCAGCTGCACTGGCGGGCCAACAGCGCGGCGGGGGCGGCCCGGGGGGCCCCTGCGGGGGTCTCTGCTCGGGGGGTCCCGGGGGTCCCTCCGCGGGGGCTCCGCGCGGCGCGGGCGCCGAGCGCCCTCCACATGCCGCCGGAACGGCCCGTCGCCCCCGGGGCAACGTCATCGCCCCGCGCCGCACAACCCATTGGCTGCGGCCGCACCGCCCCCCGCGCTCATTGGGCCGTGTGGGACGGGCGGCCACGCCCACCGGGAGGGCAAGGGCGAGCGCGGGGGCGGAGCTTGGGATGCGGGATTGGGCGGAGCCTGTGGGAGGTGAGTTGGGGATGGGGCGGGGCCTGGAGAACGGACACGCCCCCAGCGGGGCGGGAGGGGAACTGGGGGGCAAGGGGGATTTTGGGGGGTAATGGGGAAGTAATGGGGCTGTTGGGGAGTTATGGGGTGGGCAAGGGGGATTTGGGGGGAATGGAGGATTACAAGATTATAGCAATGGGTGGGTATTGGGGGCCGGCGGGAAGGGGTCAGGGGGGTCTGGGGAGGGGCAATGAGGCTGGGGCAAGGCGAGATTTGGGGGTCAGTGGGGGGTTATGGGCGGCAGGGCTGGCCCCTGGTCCCTGCCCAGAAGGGCCCAGTCCAGGATGTTTTGCGGGGACAGCACAAGGCCCCCCTTCCCCAGCCCAAAGCACAAGCTCCACACACGGCTCTTTGCACCCCTTTATTCCCCCTGGAGCCCCAAATCCCGCGGCTCCCACATCCCAACATTTCCAAACCCCAACCTTCCCCCCTTTCCCCCGAGCCCTGCAGGAAACAACATCATGTCCCATTTTGGGGTCATTTTTTTACCCAAATTCAGAACGTTTAAGCTCAGACTATTTACACCCAACCCCCCTCTTGCATATCCGGGGAATCCCAAAGCCTTTCCCAGCTGCGGGATGTTCCCTTTGGGACCCCTGACCCCCCATTCCCAGGATCCCCCTGTAGGGGTTTTAGTGTTGATTTGGCTCCTCGGAGCCTCCCAGGGCTCAGGAAGGGCTTTTCCCAGGATGAGTTTTCCGGATTCCGGATTCCACCCCAGAGAGCGACCGAGGCTCTTGCATAGCCAGGGGCAGGGGGGGAAAAGGGATGGGGGTGGGGGGGCAAGAAAGCAGGAAAACAGGGATAAAAGCATTGGGGGGACGGTGGAGAACCTAAAACAAGCCATTTTCCAGGCCTAAAGCTTCTTCCTGGAGCCAGCCTGGGGCTTTCCTGGATCGTCTTTCAGGTCCTTCCAAGCCAAACCATTCCATGATTCCCTGGTGGGATTTTCGGTGCTGGTCGATGAATCCCATGGGTTTTTTCCTTATTATTTGCCTTAAACAGCCCCAAAATCTGCTGGATTCCTCCTCCAGGATGGGAAATGCTGGATCAGCTTCTCCTGCTGCTCCAGCACCATCCAGGGAAAGTGCCTGCTCCTGGATGGAGCATCCCAGGGACTGAGGAGGGAAAAGGGGGCAAGGAACCAAGAGCAGGAGGGAAAAACACAGAATTTGGGAGGAAAAAGGAGGAGAGTGGAGGCGGCGTGGAGGGATTTGCATAAAAGCTCCAGGATTTTTCCAGCGTGGGCTCCTGCTTCCCAGGAGCTGTGGCTGGGCCAAAGTCTGGGGTTATTTTGGCTAAAAATCCCAAAATTTTGCCGGCAGGAGCCCAAAACCCCCCCGAGTTTTCCTCCCCGTGCTGTGCCACAGGCCCCAAAACTGTCCCAGTCCTTCCCAGAGCCTGGAATAAAGTGCAGAATGTCCGTGTAGTGGGAAGAGAGGCGCAGGGAGAGCCGGGAGTGGGAATTTCCACCTCCTGCCGTGCAGGATGAGCCATCCCTGCCCTGGGAATGTGGTGGGAGCTTCCCTGATATAAATATATATAAATATATATAAATATATCCACTCGTGTCCAGGCCTTGGGGGCCTTGGAGGAGGAGGGAATGAGCTCTGATGTGGGAATGTGGACCCCACACATCCCATTCCAAGAAGAACTGTGGATCCCAAACCTCTCATTCCCGGGAGAATTGTGGATCCCTCGTTCCCAGGAGGATTGTGGATCCCTCATTCCCAGGGGAACCATGGATCCTTCATTCCCAGGATTGCAGATCCCTTATTCCCAGGGGAACCATGGATGCCCCATTCCCAGGAGGAGCCATGTGGGGGGAACGAGGCCGAGTCCAAGCGTCGCCGCGGAGCCACAAACCCAAGGCCGGGAATCAAACGCCGCCAATCCGCCCCAAAAACCTCTTGTGGAGAGCCCCGGGAGCCGCAGGAGGTGGAAGCGGGGCCGGAGGGGCATTCCAGGCGGGATCAGGGGGTGTAGGCCGGCGGAGGCTGGAACTGGTTGATCACCTCGTACTCGGCCGGGTAGGGCTCGTTCTCCTCCATCTCCGAGAGCAGCTCCAGCGCCTGCTCCTCCTCCTCGGTGGGATAATGCCGGAGCAGGTTGGCGGCCGTGGCCAGGATCGAGGCCCCCCCTGCCCCCGCCACCAGGTAGAAGCTGACAGCGAAGGTGACGTAGACCTGGGAGCCGTGGTACTTCTTGTGCTGCTGCTGCTGTGCCAGGATCAGCTCCGACGCCCAGTAGCAGAACCCGATGACGGTGGCACATTGCAGGACTGGGAGGGACAAGGAAAATGGGGACAAATGGGAGAAAAATCAGTCACAGGGTGGTCTGGGATGAACAGGGATGTGGGCAAGGGCAGAGCTCGGGGTGAAATGTGGTGACAAACACCCAAAACCCAGCCAGAAATCCACCAAAAATGTGAGGCTTTCCCTGCAGGAATTCCCGGTTGGAATTCCCTGGCTGTACCTGTGAGGATTCCCTGCAGGAATTCCCAGCTGGAATTCCCTGGCTGCACCTGTGAGGATTTTTCTGCAGAGTTCCCGGCCGTACCTGTCAGGATGTGGGCGAAGGCGTAGCGCCGGGTGATTTTCAGCGCCGGGTGTTTGGGGCCGAACACGTCGAGCAGAAAGGCCGAGAGGCTGCACAGGATTCCCAGGAAGCAGAAGGCAGCAATGACCCGGAGCAGCAGCACCGTCTGTGGGTTCATGCAATAATCTGGGAGAGAGGGACGGAGGTGAGCACCCAAAAAAACCCTCTTTTCCACCCAAATTTCCCCCTGCTCCAATCCCACCCGGATCCTTGAGGATTAAAACCAGAACCCCCCAGATTCCACGAGGTCCATGAAAGGGAAAGGGGCTGTAACACCGCCACTCCCCCACACCATCACAAATTTTAATAAATTCATCCAAATATTCATTTAAATATCATGTTAATTAGTGCTAATGAGCATGTGCCAGTGTGAGACATGCTGGGAATGAGTCTCCAGTTCCATCCGTGCCTGAGGGGGGTGAGTAATGCTGGAAAAATAGGTGGGAAGGGGCCTCTCCAAGGGCCACAGTTAACCAAAAGCAGGAAAACAGACACGGTGTGCAGCTGCCTGTGGAGTTATATCCATAGAGTTATACCCCCTTCCAACCAAAACCATTCCAGGACTTTATATCTGGAGCTAAATTTGTACAGTGGGGCCATGGGTGTTGGTGGAAGGGAATGGGAGGACGTGGAGGGGGATGTAAGGGGGTCAGAGAGAGATGGAAAGGGATGGAGGGAGTGGAGAGGGATGGAAGGGGGACAGAGGGGTTGAAAGGAGAGGGGAGGGGAGGGAAGGGGATGGAGGAGAATGGAAGGTGAGATGGAGGGGGGACAGAGAGGGATGGAAGAAGGATGGAAGCAGGACAGAATGGGGTGAAGAGGACGGCAGGGGACGGAGGATTGAAGGGATGGAAGGGGCCAAAGGGGTCTCACCTCGGAGCAGCTCGGGGTTCACATAGCCCAGCACATCGGCCACCCCCAGCTCCTGGCGGGCGCAGGTGCCGCCGTGGATGCGGAGCCAGGCAGGCTCAGCCAGGGCGGTGCAGAGCGCGGTGATGGACAGAGCCCCGGGCAGCGCCGACGCCAAGCTCCGCTCCGGCTGCTTCGGCAGCCCCGCCGCGCCCCGCCGCCGCCTCCCGCCCGGCCCCGCCGGCCCGCCCGGCGCGTACATCGCGGCGGGCACCGGCACCGGGGGCACCGCCGACACCGGCACCGGCAGCACCGGCACTGCGGCCGCGGGCACCGGGGACACCGGGAACGGGACCCCCGACCCCCGGCAGTGGTTCCGGGACACTCGGCGGCGAGCCCGGAACCACCGGCAGCGGCTCCGGCCCCACGACAGCGGCTCCGCGTCCCCGATACCGGACCCGGGCCCCTGACACCGGCCCTGGATCACCCGACACCGGCCCGGGGGCCCCGCAGCAGCCCCGGACCCCCCGATACCGGCTCGGCCCCTCGGCAGCGGCTCCGGGCGCCCCGTTCGCGTCTCCCGTTCCCGGTTCCCGGCCCTGCCCGTTCCCGTCCCCGCCCCAGTTCCGGCGCGGCCGTTTCCGTTTCCGCGCTGTCCCCGCGATGCCCGAAGCGCTGTCGCTGCTGTGCCGGGTCCCCGCGCACCCCGAGTCCCGCTGCTGGGCCCTGGCCTGGAGCCCCGGCGGGGCCCTGCTCGCGTCCTGCGGGGGAGACCGCGCCGTGCGCGTGTGGGGACGGGCGGGTACGGGGCAACGGGCCGGGCGGGACCGGGCCCGTGTGGGGGAGAGCGGAGCGTGCGGGGCTGGCAGGGGGAGGAAGGACCGGGGCTGGGCGGGAACGGGGGGACCGGGCGGGTGCGGGGTGTGCGGGGCTGTGCGGGTGCGGGGGGACCGGGCCGTGC